CCGTCACCACCCGGCTCAGCCAGGGCACGAGCACACAGAGTAGTGACCTACCTGTGACCACCCGGATTAACCAGGGCATGAGCATACAGAGTAACGACCTGCCCGTGACCACCCGGCTCAGCCAGGGCATGAGCACAGAGAGTAACAACCCGCCCGTCACCACTCAGCTCAGCCAGGGCATGAGCACACAGAGTAATGACCTGCCCGTGACCACCCAGGTCAGCCAGGGCACGAGCACACAGAGTAATGACCTACCTGTGACCACCCAGATTAACCAGGGCATGAGCATACAGAGTAACAACCCGCCCGTGACCACCCGGCTCAGCCAGGGCACGAGCACACAGAGGTACAGGTGTGGACTACACAGGCAGAGAACAAGATGGCACACACAGCTACCTCTGGGCAAGCTTACTGATCTGAAAAACCTCAGGGGTCACTGGATACGCCCGTCCCCAGCTGGACTGTCACAGCCAGCCTCTCCCGAGGCACTGAGCCATGAGCTCTCCCCAGCTGCTACCCGGTTTACCAGCTTGGCACCATGACCTGCGTCTGGTCTGAGCGCCTCCAATCTGCCCTCCTGAGGGATCTTCTTCAAGGGCAAATCTGAACTTAAGAAACTCACTCCCTATACCCTCCAGGCAGGAGAGGACAGGGTGGCCAGGGTGAGACTTGGCATTTGAGAGACAGAACTGACAGGATTTGTGGCCCAGAAGAGAGAGCAATTTCAGATCGCCCTGTACACTGACTCAGCCCTAAGTGGGGTACACATCAAAGGAGAAGAGCAGGGTGTCTGAAGACGGAAGGACCCACATAGCCCACAGGGCTCACAGCCTCCAGGCTCCACGACAGCTCACCAGTCCAGAGGGTCGTTCTTCATTCGTAAGTTGTCCCTGGGGAAGTAGCCGGGCGGGTAGCGGAGGTTGTGGTATTGGTCCCAGAGGACTCGCTTGCTCCGAGGAGGGGTGGGGATGATCTTCACCTTGATGGGGAGCTTCACCGTGGAGGTCTGTTCAGCGCCGTTTTTGGACTAGAAGAAACAAGAGGTACTAAAAATGCTCCCTTGGGACATGGAACAGAGTGGCTTTTAGGTCTTGGGATTCCAGAGTCCTCTCCATTTATCATCCTGACCTGAAGGTCTGATATAGTTCATCTTGTTCAGACACGTACACAAAGAGTCTAGGACTCAGAGCGTCAGGCACTTTGTCCCCACTCTTTCCTGAGGACGCATGTGTGAGGACCACCAGGCACAGCTGCTGCCATGGTTCAGCAACAGACCAGAAGCAGTTACTCATTTACTCCCAGGGCTGGGGACCCCAGCAGGACGCCTGCCCTCCCCTGCCGGGCACATACTTACTTCCAATTCCGCTGGGGAGGACACAGTGATCATGACGTGACCCTGCGCGATGCCCTCCCAGGAAGCTGCTTTCTTGGTGACCGAAATGGAGATGGCCAGGTAGCCTGACCAAGGCCACAAGACCGAGGAGTAGGAGACAGCGACCTCCATGTTGTCTCCGTTCTGTGGCAGGTAGGGCTGCCAGTCCGGCTGTGGGAGAGAGTAAACCAAGGCTGAGGGGAACGAGGTGCATCGTCCTGATGTCAGCATGAGCTCCAGGGGCTTTTGAGAAACATTCCATTAAAAGGCGGCAAAATGTGATCTGTCCACAGACATGGAGCAGCCTAGTAACAAAGCAGTCCTAGGATCCTCGGGAACACTGTCCACTAGGCAAGGCTGCAACCTCTCCAACACATTTGAGGGGAAACTTTCACCCAAATTACAATAAAAAGTTAACAAACAAAAACAAAATGGAATGTAGAGGGGTGGATGAACAAACAGCTAGCAAAAAATTTCTGTCTGATTTGATAATTTATATATCTAAAAATCTCAGATCTGAAATTTCGTCCCATTAACTGACAGGAAGAAGGTGACATAGATACAAAGTGTCTCCAAGGAAGTTCTGAAGCTGGAGACCAGGCAGGCAGAGGTCTGGGGACCCAGAGAAGGACAGTTCAGTCTGTCTTAGGTCTGAGGAAGCAGAAAGGGACCTTCTAGAAGAAACAGAGATGCCCAAATAACCAAGCTTACAGCCCCGCCTCAGTCAGGACAGACAGACACACATTCTGGAGAGGAGACAAGAAGGCCTGCAGGACCGAGTGCCACAAACCCTGAGGACGAGAAGAGACTTTTGGCCACTGTTTTTGGGACCACAGGGTAGCAGTGGAGACAAGGTCAGCTCTTGCCTACCTCTCACACCACACACACCAAAATCACTCGCCACAGATGAAAGAACTCAATATTTAACAAGCATGTGAAGAAAAATCAGTAGAGAACCAAATTGAGATTTTCTTCTCTCTCTGGACAAGTAAGTTTCTAATCTTTGAAATAACTGACCATAAAAGATGAGAAATTCAACTACGTACAAACGTTAAACTGCTGCACAACTATACAGAAGTTTGTAAAGCACCTGAGAACTGATACTGTAGGAACAGAGGACAGTAACCTGTAAGGGCATTTTGCATAAAACACTACAAATGGTGGTGTGAAGACTGTTCACAGCAATAGGGAGAACGCCGATTCCCGAAGAAAAATGGGCCCCGGAAGTAGAAAGACCAGTCACACCGCAGGAAACACTAGAGAAAACAACCCTGAAAGATGACCACACACACACACACACACACACACACACACACCACACACACACACCACACACACCACACACACACACACAATCAAAGAAATGCCAATGTAACTGGAACTCTGGCCTCATGTCTACCACAGATGGACACATACACACCATGCACCATTACCCGGTGCTATGAGTTGCCTCCGACTGGGCAAGTAGGGGGCAGGCACAGTGGAGTTGCCCGTGTGGGTTCCACATCTGCTATCTTTGGGAACCCAAGCTGCCTCATCTTTCTCCAGTGGAGCAGTCGGTAGGTTTAACCCACTCACCGGTTAGTAATCAGTCAAGGGTTTAACTATGCCGCCGGAGCTCTTGGGGTACGTTATTGTTGCTAAATACCACTGACTCGATTCTGACTCATAGCGACCCTGTATTGGTCTCCAAGGAGTGGTTGGTGCATGTGAACCGATGACCTGTGGTCCAGTGCTGTATCCTACAGTACCACACTAGGACTCCAGGGTACATTCCTAGAAGTGTGTAAATAGTGGTAGGGGTCTAATTATAGTACTGCTGTCACGTGCCATCAAGCTGATTTCGACTCACCGCACCTCTATGTGACAGAGTGGAGCTGCCCCATAGGGCGTCCTAGCTGTCATCCTGAGACGAGCAGATCCCCCATCTTTGTTCCTGCAGAGTCGCTGGGTTCTAATCAAGTGCTTCCCCACTGTGCCACCAGGAAATGTCACTTGGAAATGTATGAAGGATCAAGGTCTGAAACCCAGTACAATGTGGATGACCCTGGAGAGGCGGACATGAGACTCGCCAGACACAGATGCCACCCTTCTGTGATTCCCTGTTCACAGACACGTCCATAGGGACAGAAGGCTGTGGGCAACGGAAATAGTCTGAAATGACATAGGTGTCAAGGTTGCACAACTCTGCAAACACACTAAAAGCCAATAAAATGTACACTGTAAAGGATGAACTCTACGACATGTGCACTGCATCTCAATCAAAAACATAAATAATAACTCAAAAAAAAATGTAACAAGAGAGAAAAGACATACTGTCCGATGCCAGCAGAGCAGCGCAGTATTCCCTCCCATGCACCACCACGGCCAACTTGCCGTTGTTGCTCCTGGGAAAGCAAACTGGCCTTGAGTACCCAGAGCCATAACCACACGACTGCCCTTGGATCCCAATCCGAGGACAACACAGCACAGAAACAACGAGGAAGCAAAGAAAAGCCGACGTGCAGACACGAGGTGAAATGTTCAGTTGAAAACCACCTGTTGTTCGAGGAGAAGCCTCATAAAAATATCTGATGACTGCTCGTGCTATGTGTGCGGCTACGTTTTAGAGCGTTCACACTTTACTGGGAGCAGAGAGCAGAGAAACTGTGAGCCTGCCAGATGCACATCGATCACCAACAATGTGGTACTTCAGCTACGGGCTAGAAAAGATCTAGGAACCAGCGGCAGTCTCCGTGTGCCGAGGCTGGAAGTGATTTATTTGCTGGCTCTTTTTTCTGGCATTGTTGTGACAGTGTTTAGGCAGAATGTAAAAGCAAGGCTCTGTCTTCCCAACGCTGAGCTTCTGTTTGACATACAAGTGGGAAACTGTAAAGATGAGGAAGAAAACATAACTCGTTATCGCAGAACCAAAATTCAAGATGCTGAGGTAAAAAAAGCAGCAAGCTGGCTTCACTTATTTCTGCTCTGACTTCTGTGAAAAGGACGTAAGGTAAAGGAGTCAGGGGCCCTTTGTGCCCGGGGCCCCTTTGGGCTTGCTTCACCTGGCAGAGACACAACTGTGGTAGATACAAGTGGGGGCCAGAGGGAAGGCTCACCTTGTCGACGATCCTTCCTGTGACCCCCATGCCATTGAGAATGGTGACGTTGACGATGGTCGGCATGCCCCCATAGTAGATGGGCTGGGAGCAGTAGGGCCACATGTAGGGACATTCGGTCAGATCGATGTAGCTGGGGCTCAGACTGAAAGAGAACAGGGTCAAAGCACACCGTGTTAGAACAGGTAAAAGCAGAGCAATGAAACCACACGGGAAATCTGACTCCACAGGCCGGCCTGCACAAGGGACCACTTGCAGGGCTGCGCTTGGCTGGCATTTGGGAACGTGGCTTTGGGATAATCCCTTTACTACCAGCATACGCATGGGACACACCGTCCTATCTGGACTAACAGCGTACATGTGGGTCACACTGTCCTACTGGGAGCAAGGTGGGTGTCGTAAAAGTGAGTTCATGAGCAGGCCCGATGAAATCTTACCCAGGACTCTGGACCTCCCAGTCCCCTTACACACAAGGAGCTTCGTGTCTGTGTGGGGCAAGGTGCATGCTCTGTGACCTCTAAGGCAGCCTGAAGGCACCCCTCCCTCTAGCCATAAGGAAAGGCTCACGACAAGGCTGTTAACCACAGCTTGGTTTGTAACCATCTAAACACATGCTCACAAGAGAGTGGGAGAATGCACACTAGAACCCAGTACCACACGAGAGCATGAGAGCCTTCCACAAACTGGGAAGTGATTACAACCAAGTACAATTCAACGTCTCCAGTGAGGAGGAAGAGAGTTTAAAGCTGCTCAGATGAGCAGAAAATACACAAGGAACAAACTGCAAACTGCAGGGGCTGCCAGAGAATGACAGTTCTCGGGGAGTCTTCTTGTTGTTGTCCTTGGGCGTTGTTGAGTTGACTCCAACTATAAGGTAGGGTATAGAGTGCCACTGTAAGCTAGGGTATAGATAGAGTACTGCTGTAAGGTAGGGCATAGAGTACCGCTGTACAGTAGGGCATAGAGTGCCACTGTAAGGTAGGGTATAGACAGAGTACTGCTGTAAGGTAGGGTACAGCGTACCGCTGTACGGTAGGGCATAGAGTGCCACTGTAAGGTAGGGTATAGAGTGCCGCTGTACGGTAGGGCATAGAGTGCCACTGTAAGGTAGGG